CATGATTATGATAATATGCCTGAGCAAAACCTATACGTATATGCATGTACTTACAATATACATATATACATGCATATCTCATTAAAGGTAAGTGTACGTATGTATATGCAATCCGTCGACAATCAGCTGATTATCTAAGGTTAAAAGTGAACAAACGAAAAATAGTTGAAATTAATTGTCTTATATAAAAAAAAAAACTCACACTACTGTTATGCTAGTGTCATGTATGTATGTACATTAGTACATATAGCTATGATTACTTTTTTTTTTTTGGAAACAATTCCTATTTTACAGAATTTTAAAAATAAATTTTAAATTAAAATTTTAATCATTGTTTTGATTGTAAAAGTGAGGTCATATAAAAAATAAATCCTATTGCCACCGACGTCGCCATATCGTATGTTATTATATGAAGCTGTTAGGAATTTTTATTGTTAAACAAAAATAAAAATAAAAATTAAACGAAAATAACTTTCGATTTTTATTATTTATACATATTTACATACATACATACATACAAACATATACGTTATGTATACAAATTTTTTTCTTCTGAATGTACCTAACACAAAATATAAAAGAAACTGTAAAATAACATTTCAAAAAACGAAAAATCGCTATTTTTAATGTCACTTAAATATTTTTATTTGATTTTTGGTTTTTTACTTTTAAAGCTTTCATTTCGGAAATAATAATTTTTACTCTTAATTTGCTATATTTATTAGCATATAATTATAATACAATTAATTTATTCATAAATCGTAAATAAATTTTGCCGAAAACAAAAAATATAAAACTAGAAATACAAGAAATTATAAGAATGATTATTATAATTTGATTACCAATACGTAATAATGTTCATCATAAGGTATCTATTTAATTATATGCATATATACGTACATATACATAAATAATAACCGATTGTAAAATTTATTATAACAGAAGTCATACACAAAAGATATACATAATATTATTTGTATTGTTCAAAAGATGATAATGATTAGAGAAACGAAAACACTGACTTTATAATTAATTATAAAAATAAACACAAAAAATAAACAAATTTTTTAACCCTTTACAATCGAATTTTTAGTCTGATGGAGATTTGAGTAGTAATTTCTTGAGGTAGTATAGGTTTTCACGTGTACCAGTATAAAATAAAATCAAAACATACTCTTTTATCTGTATGAATTTATCTGTCTAATCTGTCAATATGTATTTGTCAAAAATTTGCACAAATTCTCCGATGCTACACTATTTTGTGAAGATCTCTAATTTATTTATTGTTACATTATCAAATATTTGCGGTATGCAGTAATATGTATGTAGTACTTGGATCGAGTTTTCAAATATAAATTTGACGTAATCTTGGCAATATTAAAAATCATACGAAAGACATGATGCTTAAAGTACTGAACTTGTCAATATTCCAATTCAAATTTTAAAGAAATATTCAAACTTCTGAAAATTCATAACATAATATGCCATACAAATGACATAATATAGAAATAAAACCATAAAAATTTGCATTTATATTGCAAATACGAAAACTTTTTATATTTGATTGTTATATTTTAAGTATTTCTCTGCACAATTTGCAAATACGCTAACTCATTGAAACTAATTTAATTTAAAAATATCGAAGTTTAATTCATCTATGCAAAAATTAATACTAATTTTTTTTAATCATTGCCATTGTCAACAATTGTTTTTCAAGTAATTTCAACTTCAAAATATTATCGTAATTTATTTTAACATTAAAAAACATTTTTGACAATTTATAGTGCAGGTAAATAGTCTTTCAAAGATTAACACTTCAAATTAATGCAAGCTACTTAATGTTTCATTATTGTAAAGTATTGTGTTATATGTAGTGTAATACAACAAGTCATATGTAAGTACTTATTATGGTACTTACGTATGCAATAATTTTTTAAAATTTATGTTACACAATTTCTTTAATAAAAAATTGCAAGTAAGTTACCTATTTAGTGCTGTTACACGTAATTATTATAGTTAATGCGATATTTATTTCATGATTTAGTAATTTATTTAAAATATGGTACAGCATGCAAGTACCAAAAAAAAAATGTCAGTCATACAACATAGTACACAATAATTAAAAGCACTAAGAGCAATACTTGAATAATTGATTTTTTTTCTGAGTAATTACATATTTAAAACGTGTCGGTATGTAGTTACAAATATGTGTATGTATAGCACTTTGTAAAGTTTTTGTAATTATATAAATGACAATTTGAAAATATATTATGTATAAGTAAAGATAATTTTAAAAATTCTTGAAAATTTTTTTTGTTTTACTAATTTAAATTGTGACATCGCTCTTTCTCACACACTTGATTTTATGTGCAGTGGTTTACTACAATTATTAAGAGTTATTTCGTTTTACTTATGAAACATATTGAGAGTTTAGTTACTTATGATGCTAAGTCATTCAAACTATTAAAAGAATAGTTTAATAGTTTGAATGACAGTACTCTAATACTAAAGTTATTTGATGCACTCATATGTTATATCTCTAATAATTTCTTACAATTACTGCGAAGAAAATTACTTGGCCTAATTTTTTTGCTTTAAAATATTAATACACAATATAATTTTAATGAAATAAAGTGTCTGTTTCCCTTGATAAAAGACTCTTTGATGGATTTGAATAAAAAATCAATTGGAGTTCGTACATTCAAAATTTTTCAGATTTTTCAAATTCCTTCAAAAGTAAATCTTTCAAAATTTTTGATTTAATCGAGAAATATTAAATTTAGTTATAATTTTAAAGGTAATTATTTTGGTTAGCAAATTAACAAGGTTAAATTTCATAATTTCCATACTTTTTGAAAATATTGAACAACTGTTTCTCGGATAATTAATTTTAAATGCAGTAATTAAATTTATTTTATGCCACAAATTTTTCTTCATACCAATTCAATGCTAAATTAATTTTATAATTTCAATATGCTCATTTTACTTGCATTTTAATTGCTTTCATTTTACTCTCTCGTTTTTATAAACTTAAAGGGAGCGAGAGAAAGATATAAGAATATGAAAGAGCAAAAATGACTATAACATAAAGAGCAAATTGTTCCCTATAAAAAATCGTTCAAAAATCAAAATAAATGTAATTCGTAATATGTGAAAATTTTTGTGAAATACTCGTACGAGGGAAAAAATTTTATTAATTATTATTAATTTAAAATTTTTCAAAAAATAAAGATTAGAATTGCTTGATTACTAAAATTATTTTTTGAAATCTTTTTGGGGATTTTTGTCATATCGGGTCAAATTTTGTTCGGACAAACACATCGAACTAAAATTGTGCAGCTTTTCAAGAACCTTTTTAGAAGTGTTTTTAATTGTTTTTCAGTGGTCTTATAAGGTTGATCTTCAAAGAATTTTTCAATGTGAAGTCAGCTGGAACCTTCTCCAAGATATTTTAAACCCCTTCTCCAAATTGGCACGAAAATTATTGATTCAGCTTATAAATTAATTTTATAAAACATTTAATTTATTAAATATAAAATGCAATTCAATAAGCCGTGATTAAGATTAATTATCGTGACATTAAATTAATTTTGTACACAATTTAGTCACAATTTAATCGTTATCATTATAATATTGTTTCATAGAAATCGCTTTGATAATAATAATTAATGTTAAAATTAAAAACTTTAATTAGAAATACCCGAACTTATTATATACCTATTTATACATAATTATGTATTTAACCTATACATTCATAGAAATTAATATGCATAGAATATTGAATGTTGCATAGATTTTGTCCTCTCTAAATCTGATTGTATGCAAGGGACTATTAAGTTAAAATGATAAAATAATTAAATATCGTACATAATAAGATGTGAAATTGTACAGAGTGACCAAAATTTGATAGAATAAATTTAGACGAAGTGGTAGGCGGAGTTTTTTGCTATATGGATTGCTAGTTAGCTTTTAGGATCTAATAAAAGAAAGAAAAGGTTAGTTGTTGAGCACTACAGAGAGAGGTTATTACTTGCAGAAATTTCGACAAACTGCGCATCGTTTGTGTAGAAATTCTCGCTTGGTAAAGCATTTGAAGAAAGCTGAATATTTTAACTGTGGGCATGTGGTGGTATATTTGGATTTGTGAGAAATTGTTTAAATAAATATTCTCATCATATGTGAGAAGATTTGGATTTGTTTTAGACCAAGTGATAGGCCTAACGGAATCTGATAACTTAATAAAAAAATTTTTAAATTAGAGTTTGCACATAAATATTTCGTAAAATAAAAAAACCTTTAACTTTATCGATTTATCTAATCTGCAAGATAGCACCTTCGTAAAAGATGGGGAAAAAACTAAAAGGTATTATTCTACTCAACCTTTGGAGTATCATCGCATCGTGCATCTTTTGTAATTAGGGTATTTTTTTTAAAAACATTTTTAAAAAATTAAATTTCAATTTAAATAAACTTTATTTTACGATATTTGCGGCTTATTTATTATTGTAAACAATATTTTGATTTACCGTACACATTAATATAATTTGTAAATAAAGTAAGTTAATATACATACATATATATTATGGTTGAGTAAAACGAACGTCAAAAAAAAGTGAATAAAAAAATTAATGCATTTTTTTCTTTTATTGAAAAGTCAAAGAAATTTAACTCTCATTTTTTTTTCTCTTATTAACTTTTCTTTTTATCAGTCATTTTCGGAATAGCTACGTTACAAGATAATATATCTGTAAATATATACGGATATATTTGTGTATGCATGTGCACATTATATTTTTTTGTACGTATGCACACGTACGGGTAAAAATGAAAGTTTTTTGTTTTTGATGGTTTCAATTTTAGTGTTGTCGTTGCCGTTTTTTTTTATTTCTTTTGTTAATAAATTTTTAATATTATTCGAATTTGATATGTATATGTATATAGATATATGTATGTATATATTATTGTTATTGCAAAAATGCTTAAAATAAAAAATAATTTACCATTAACATTTATTCCAAAAATGTTGAAAACTATTAATGTTATTAATCCAATATTAAAATTTATATTTTTAATACCCATTTTAAAACTTGTGTATTATTTTTTTTCTATTATAAAAAAATTCCAATAAAAAACTTCATAAAAAAATTTAAAAAGTTAATAAAGAAAAAATGAAATTTCACTTTACACGTATATTCAAATTTTATGGTCTTCTTTTCTTTTTAAAAAAATATTTTACATTTGATAACTCTTTTTTTTTTTTCCTTCTTGGAAAATAGTTAAAATTTCTCAAATTAATACAGATATTATGTAATTAAATAAAAAATTTTTTTTTATAATTTTATAATAATTAATTATAAATAATATTTGAATATATATATATATATATATATATAAAATAAATTTTTAATTAAAAATATTCAAAATTTTCATTTCTATTTGCTCATTTTTTAATTATCAAACTATTTTTTTTTACACCTTTTATGATTTTAAATTAATAAAAATTAATAAATTAATAAAATTTTTATTTAATTTCAGGTATAGGTAAATAAAAAAATATTTTTTTCTTTTTTTTTGTAATTTAATATTTTTACACTGTGTTATTATTACCGTGTTAATTTTTAACACAATGTATTTACATATATTTAATTATTTAATAATTATATTTAAATAAAAAAAATTAAAATAAATAAAAATAAATTTTGATCCGTTTTCAAAGACAAGAAACCCTGAACTGATTTGACCACTTTCAGAGAAATTTACAAATTGTCTCATAATATAATCGGCGAATACAATAAAGACAAAAAAAAAAAGCGAAAGAAAAAAAAAGATCAAATAAAAATTAACGAAAAGAAAAATAGCAAAAAAAAAAAAGGAAAGAAAAAAATTAATTTAACAGACAATAATAACTTCGATTCAATGTTGGTTTAAATATCTTAAATATATATATATATACATACTTAATTATATATATATATACATACTTAATTATATACATACGAACATGTGTGTATATTCATGCATACATTTGTCATACATGTATGTATGTATGCGATTTGAAGCTATTTTGTTTCTTTCCTCGTTTGTTTTTTTTTTTTTGGTTTTTCTTGCCTTTTTCTTCATTTTTCTTGTTAAGTTACTTTAATACTTTTTGGAAGTGGTAATCCCAGTTTAAGAAGTTACATTTTTCTTCTGTTTTTATAATATAAAATTTATATTATGTATGATACTCACAACAGCGATATTTGTATTATTTTAAAACGCTACAAATTAATAAGTATGTGCATAGGTGGGTTAAAAAGTTTTTGCTTTTAGTATTTATAGTACATAAACTAACTATGTTGTTTTCAAAGTAAGAATGGTATACATTAATTTTTATTTAGTAATTTATAATTAACTAAAGATAAATTTCTATAAATTAGATGAATTTTTGCTTATAAAAATTCTTTTATAAGCAAAAATTCATCTAAAATTCATTCTAAAAAACGGCTTACGTGAAATTTTAAAAAAGAACATTGTTCACCGAAAATTTAATAAATTTTTAATTTTACTTTTAAGATAGAATCATTATCACCAGAGTCATGAATTATTGCTTGTAAAACAGGTCAAAAAATTCAACTTTAAAGTTTAAAGTACATATTTAGCTTTCGCTTGGAAAACAAAAATTAAATAATTACTCTTACAAATTCACAAAATTTAATTCATAAAATTTTACATAAATTTAGGAGAAATTTTAAACTGACAACTTTCTAAAACTTTATACTGACGCCTTATTATGCAATACAATTTTCTTATTCGGAAGAAAGTAATTTTCGTATTCCGTATCACTAATCAATTTGTACGGTACTACTTTCCCATTCCTGCAAATATGAAAATAGTTTCAAGGAAATTGAATTACATAGTACGGCCTCTGCTTACGTAGTATAATGACTAAATGATATTCTAAATCAATTTTACTAAAATTTAAAGATTTACCCCTAGATAAGAAAACGATTTTAATAGTAGATTTTAACAGGTTTTCATAATAAGTTCGAAAAATTAAGGAATGGAAAAATAACATTTTGCATACTTACAGGGACAATAACTTTTAAAGTATAACTATAATTAATTTTTGCCGAATAAAAGTAGCATTTTTCAACCTACTCCCTTATAATTTTATAATGAATGTATTACGTTTTCAAAGTATAATATAATACACAATGTATATATTGTATGTGCCACAATATAATCTTATATAAACACATAAAATGATCGCTTGCTTTACTACATAACTACAATACCAGTAAATGATTATATCAATGAATATTTTAGTTTTTTTTTTTTTTGTAAACAAAAGATAGAAAAAAAAATTACATTTTAGTCGCAAGAAAAAGTAGTTTTTTTTAATTTTTTGTTGTTTTTATTGTACATATTTATTTTATTTTATAAGATTTAAATTAATTGAGTTACATGAATTGAATTATAAAGAGTTACAAGAACAATAAAGAAAAAGTATAGCGTAGCACAACAAGAGAATAAAGCGATATGGAAAAAATGCAATTAAATTTGTAATTATTTACAAATAATTAATGAATTAGTCGGAGTTTTTCTCCATAGGTTTAAAGTTTTATTTTAAAAAAAAATTATTAAAGTATTGGTATTCTTGGATAAATTATCGAATTAAATTATTTCGAATTTTAATGCTTTAAAATTTGTTTTTGGGTTCTCAAAATTGCCAAATTCTAGCATTTAAGCAGAAGAAGTAGACTTTAAATTTTCGAAATCTTGCAACACTGAATTCCTTAGCATAATTGGTTTTCTGCCTCAATGAATTGATTTCTCTATTTTCAAAACTTAGACATGGTATACAAAATGTTTACCTCTGTTAAATAATATACTTTGTATTAAGGATTAAAATTTTTTTTTTCACTTTAGTATTGGTTAATTAAAAAAATTAATGAAAATCTACTTTATTGCATTATATAGAAGAAATTTTAAATAATATCTAGCTCTTGAACTATAAAATCTACGATGAATATCTACATAACAATTTTGTATTGCCGCATGTTGTTGTGTTTTTATTAATTCTACAGTACATTAATTTAAGGTTTCCACTCTATACTTAACAGATTTAAAGTTCAAAATCTTGTAGTATTGTAGTTTTGCAGATTATACATAATATCAAAAAAGCAGAATGTAATTCTCATAAAAATTTATTATTCTGATATTTATAAATAAGCATATGTATAACAATTTATATAGATGTGCATACTTATACATGAAATGTATGCAATTTGTATTTGAAAAGGTATTAATAGCAACGGTACGCGGCTTAAGTTTTCAAAGAATTGATTTGATTTGAAATTTATTGCTCACAATCATTACTATTATTGTTATTGCTATTTCAAAGATCAGTAATTTAAATACAAGGTGACACAGTTTCAAGTGACACAGTTCAGAGTATGTGGTGAATTCCATAAGTCGAATGCATATTTTAAAGTTTAGAAAAAAGACGAATTGACGTTTCAAATTTGAATAACAAAATGCTGTTATTCAAAAATGCTGAAGAGAAGTTATTTTTTCAAAGCATACATTTGTGAAATTTATGATTTTTCGTATAGGTTTCCATACTTGTAATATTAATTATCTAAAAAAAAATTCTGAAATAAATATTTATCATAACTAAACTAAAATTGTCATTAACTACAAATCATTATGATTTTTTCATCGAATTTCCTTTTTCACGTTATAGCCCATTTTATGGACTTTAAGGTTTGAAAACTGGAGTTTATATTAATTGATTTTATAAGCTACACTCAATTACTTTAAATTCTATTGTATATTCTATTTTAATATTTTGGCAACATTCGTTTCTAAATAATTTCGAAAATTATTTTCTTTGAATTATGGTATTAATACACAATTCAGCTTATAATTGTTAATTGCTGGACTGTATATTACGAGTAATACCTCAATACTATAATTTTGGAAGTCAAGGTTTATTATTGGAATAGAATACCACCCACAACGCGGGGCCACCTTGTTATTATTTGAACTCATGAATTATGGCAATGTAATTTGTTTTTTTCAATATTTTTCTTTTTTTTTTGAGTAGAGTTTTAGGTGCATTTTTTTTATTTTGTATATTCTGTTTTGAGCAGTTGAAACCATAAAGTTTCAATGATAGTTAAGTTTTTATTTTTTATTATTTTATTTTCGAAAGAAAGAGAAAAGAATAACAAGCCGGTTTTAAAAATTCAAGGTATTTTGAATATTTTTTTTCTTATTTTTGTTGTTGTTAGGTTACTTGTATGTTATGTACATTGAATGCATGTTATGTATGTAAAATAATTGAGTATGTTCATAGTTTATATGAATACCTGTGCTATATGAGCTTTGTAAAAAATAATATAATATAGTGAGGATACAATCGACATTTTATGCAAGTGTGAATTTTATAGATTATGGCGATTTTAACTCGTCGTAACTTGGTAAAGAAGAAGAATATTGAAAAAAAAATTAACTAGTTTTAGTTATTTATTTTAATTGTTTAACTTCTATTATATATGCTATTCACAATTGAAATTCTAAATTGATACTTTAAGTTTTATAGCGTATGCAAATAAAAAAAAAAATTTTTTTATTGACATTTAAGGTGAAGTTAAATTATGCGGTATGTTAATTAGTTGCACACCTACCGGTTTTTTTTTTTACATTAATTTCATCTTTAATTTTTTTTTTGCTACCTTTTTGTTATTTCATGATGAAATATCAATAACACGAGCACATCATTAATAAATAACGATGATTTTATTTATATTTACCTACGTGGTATGGCATTGTATTTAAAGTAAAATTTGCTTTTGAATCAAAAGCAGAACTTTCTCAAAAGAAATTAATTAAATAAATAAATAAATAAAATGAAAGGAAATTTTCAATTACAAATATTTTTCTATATTTTTGTGGAAGAGAAATGATGAAGTGAAATTTTTGAATTTTTGAATTTCGAAATATTGAAATTTTTGGCATTCAATTTGGGAGTGTTTTAACAAACATTATAAAATTTGGATTTTTTTTATGCTTTATTGCTGTTTATTTTTAGATTTTATTTGCAATAGTTATTTTTTTA